TCAGTCACCCATCGCTGTCACAGGCACAACAGACATGACTTGGGGAAATTAACTCAATTTATGACCAGCCAAATCAGAGCAGGAGAACGAGAATCTTAAAAAAACACTGGGCTTCACTGTCCCCGATTCCCTCCCTCCTTTCCCTCAGTGGCACAGGGGAGATGGGAATCTGGATTATGGTCAGTTCATCACATGTTTGTGCTGTTGCTTCCCCCTCAGGGACAGAAGACCTTCCCCTGCTTCACTGTGGGTCCCTTCCATGGGGTCAGTCCCTCGGGAACAGGCTGCTCCCTGGGTCCCCCACGGGGTCACAAGTCCTGCAGGAGCCTGTTCTGCGTCGGCTCCTCTCTCTAAGGCTCTGCAGGGGCTTCCCACGGGTTCTCGGCCTCCTTTGGGCACCCCCTGCTCCGGCGCGGGCTCCTCCCCGGGCTGCAGGGGGGTCTCTGCTCCATCCTGGATTCATCCACAGGTCACAGGCCCTTCAGCTCAAGTTCACATGGAGTTCCAGCCTGTCCAGTGCAGCAGCAATTCCCGGGCCTCCTGCACATTGCCGGGGCTGTTGCCCAACGTTCCCAGGCACAGCACAGTGAGGTGATCAGAGCTGAGCAGCTCAGCAGCAGTGACAGCAACGAGCAGCCACTAAGGAGCCACAGAGTCTGACACACAGCCAGGAGCCTCGGACAGCACCAGCAGCTGTAAATTCCAGCAGCACATCCCAATCCTACCCGTCAGTATCTCCAACACTCCCAGCCCCACCTGGACACCAACAAAGGCTGTTGTGGTTTCAGCCCATCCAGTCCCCAAGCCACTCCCAGCCACTCCTCACTCCCCACCAGCAGGATCAGGGAGGAAATTGGGAAGGGAAAAGCTGGAAAACTCGTGGGTTGACATAAAGACAGTTTAATAAGGACAAGCAAAACCTGCACACACAAGCAAAACAAGGAATTCATTCCCTGCTTCCCATGGTTGGGCAGGTGGTCAGCACCTCCAGGAGAGCAGGGCCCCATCCCACAGACGGTGACTTGGGAAGACAAACTCCATCACTCCAAAGGTCCCCCCTTCCTCCTTCTCTCCCCCACTTTATATCCTGAGCATGATGTTGACACCACTGTCTGGTTCAAAGGTGTGGGGTTGAGTCCCCACTGTCTGGGTTGCCCATGTATTAGTCAGGTACAGGTGCAACTCAGTTCTTAACACAACAGAAGGAGAATTAAGGAGTGACACTGGAAAGGTTATTGGTGTGACAGGGGTTAAATTAGGAAAACAACGGGTAACTCATCAGTTTCTCTATTTGCCAAACTCCCCTAAACCTGCGCTAGGAAGAGATTGATTGGGAAACTTGAGGCAGAAATTAAATTTAAAAATGGGCACGTTGAAATCGTAATTGCTGAGACTAAATATGTTGAAGCAGCAGCTCTTCTTGAGCAGGAAATAAGTCCAGTTAGCAACAACATCCCAAGGGAAGCTGAAGATGCAGTTGTTCCTATCGTGTGGGCCAGTGGGATTCCATGAAAATCAGGAAAGGCAGCACCTTAAGCTAGAAGCTGTACTGATAAGGCAAAAGCAGAATCCTTTGAAATTAGAAAGCCAAGTTGGGTTGGTTCCAGTAGCACACAAATTTGCTAAGCATGATTTGCTTGTAGACTGGGAATACAAGTACCCATAAAGAAAGCAAATGGGAAAGATTATTGATTAGGGCAGGACCCGAGAGAACCCCCTTAAATGATAACTTAGAATCGTTTACAGTTTTAGATTTACAAGATGCCTTTTCCTGCATCCCCTTGAGCAAGGAAAGCCAAGAAATCTTTGTTTAGGAATGAGAAAATACAGAAACTGTGAAGGAGGAGAAGCCACCTGACTCCTCCCTGAGCCATGAACAGTTCATGAAGTGCCTTCCTGGGAATGGCAGGATGGTGTTGACTCTGGATTGCTCACTATGGACTTTGGTAAGACCATTAGATGAGCTTTTAAAAACAGCCTGTAAGAATTTCCTCAGCTGGACAGATGGTGCAAGAGCAGCCTTTAAGCAGCCAAAGCATTTCCTGATGAGAGCCCTGGCTCTGGGTCTGCCAGATCTCTCAAAACCATTTGAACTGTTTACCTATGAGAGACAGAACGTTGCTCTGGGAGTGCTTGCACAATTTCCTGGGCATCAGTGAAGAGCCAAGGCCTATTCCAGCCAAAACCCCTGACTGGGAATTGTACACGATGGAAGCAGCTTTGTTTGGGAGGGAAAACGAGTGACAGAGTGTGCAGTGACCACCCCAGGCAAGGGAATCGAATCTTGGCCTCCGCAACGACTGCCTCTGCTCAGAAAGCAGAAGTAACTGCTCTTAGCCCTGGACTTAAGGAAAAAGAGGCAACATTTGGCATTGAAAACTTTCCCTGAAATTGGAAACCATTCTCCTGACAAATCTGCAAAAGAAGCAGCAGAAAAAGGCATTCTGGCTTTAGTCCCAGAAAAGGAGGTCATGTTACCTAAAATTGCTCCAAAGTACAATAAAAAAAGGACTTTCAGTGAATGGAATCGCTCAAAGCTGACTTTCAAGCTACAGGATGGGCTGTCACCCCTACAGAGCAGGTGACAGTCCCACCTATAATTATGGGGAAAATATGTAAAAAGAGCATGAAAGAACCCAAACACTAGCAATAAAATAACTGTAGGAGTCACAAAAGCTGGAAATCTTCCTGGAGATTATCTGCAAATAGTTTTTACTGAGTTACCCTGGAAAGAAGGATATTGGTACATTTTTAGTGCTAGTCGATACTTTTAGTGGATGGCTAGAGCTCTGTCCTTATTGCACCAACAATGCAAGAGAAGTACTGAAGGTTCTCTTAAACCACATTATTCTCAGGTTCAGAATTCCTCTAGGAATGTCATCAGATAAAGGATCAGATTTTATTGCAGCAGTGGGACACAAGACAAGTAACCTTTGCCAGGAAACCTCAAGGACATCGGTGCAGGCCCTGCCTATGGCATTGCTGAGAATTCAGGGTCAGCCTGGGAGAAGAGACTATTTAAGCCCCTATGAACTAATAGACACTTTAGGATCTACCCTGCAGAAACTCCAGAGATTCATGGTGACACCTTGGCCAGTGGATTGGATGCCCCAGCCTATCTGTCCCTGCCTGGCCATTGGGTTCATGTCAAATGGGGGGACTCTGAGCCCCCTCAGGCAAAGGGGAAAGGCCCTTTCCAGGCTTTGTTGACCCCATTTACAGCAGTTACAGTTACAAAGAAGGACCTTGGACACACTATCCTCGAGTTAAGAAAGCTCCATTTGATTAGAAAGGCGAACAGACTGAACCTTAAAAATTATAATCCATGTTTGTGTATTATCTTGTATTATGATTTAATGCTGTAGCTGTTGTAGTCACTTATGGTTCAAAGTACGCTTTGAATAATGAGACATTGGCCTAATGGCCAAGTCCTAAGAAAAACAGGGAAGTGATATTTGAGTTTTGAGATGTAACAAGGACTAAGCTTCTGCAGCAGAATGTACCATAGAAACTCCACAGAGCTGAGGCAAGGCACTAACCAAGCAAAGTAATGAAACAACGAAGAAGGGAACTAAGGCAGCAGCCAAGCAATACTGAGTAACTCTGTAACCAGGTGAATTGTCTTAAAGAAGTTCATAAGGCAGTCAGAACTTTGGGGGCTCCAGACACAGATGACCATGAGAGACTCATGATGAAGCCCCTCAGAGACCTTATAAGGATATGCAAATATGCTAATAAGTGTTGGGAAATGTCATGAATACATAACAGGAATGTAAGGAATGAAAAATGAATAATCATGTAATGCTGACATATCAGCTGCAGTGGAGACACCTCTGTGTGCACTTTGGGAACTGATTCCCAGGGCGCCCGACATGTGTGACCGTGCAGCACATCGTGATAAAGAATGTCTGCTGCTAAAACTCACCAATTGGGTCCTAGAGGTTTCTTTAAGAGCCAATTTTAGGCAACAGGTGGCCCCTCAGGAGGCCCCCCCGTGGGGTGACACAAGGGAGACTCATGGGGGTCCACATTCTTGATCCATCCTGGAGTCCAGTTATGCCCATCCCACCCCCAACCTCAGCCCCAACCCCTGCCCTGCATGTTCCCCTCAAAGCCCCCCTCATTTGCTGCCCACTGGCAAAGGAACTGCCCAGGGGCAGAGGGGGGGAACACCCACCCCCCAAGAGGACAGGCTGGGTTTGGAGCCAGAGAAGGGAAGAGGCCCCTCAGAAGCAGATCCTGCCAGCGGGGACAGTGCTTTGGATCAGGGCAATGTCCTCCCTTACACAACTGGCTCAGGGCGAAAACTCCCCCTGGGGAAGGACCGGGACATTCCCACGGAGCCTGGAGGTTTTTATCCCTTCTCAGGGGCCACAACTGGCTCAACCACAGATGGGAGAGGCAGGGTGATGTGTGAGAAGGGGCCACAAACCATCAAAGACCCCCAAAGTGCCCCGTGATCCCCAGGGTTACATCAGACAGTGTAAAACTGTTCCCAGGGGAGGAATATGGGTGTTTCTGAACCTGAACATGTATTAACTCACTGAACTTTGTATTTCAGGGGCTTCCCTCACCCCCAACTGTTAAACACCTCGACCATCACTTGGACCAAGGGATGTGGGAATTGCACCAACCAAATCTGTGCTGGATCCTCAGGGTGTGACTGTATCTTTCTACTCTGATTCTTTCTTTTCCCTTATACATTTTCTTAAGTGTTATTTTTATGCTTTATATCACTATAGACAGGAACCAAAACTGCTCCAAACCTGCTTTACATGGCAACCAAAGTATTCTAAACTAAACTCTACTATTTATAGTTATAACCACCAATCATTCACTGTCCTTTCACTCTAATCTGCCCCAAGGGGTCAATTAACAAGAACCTGGGTCACCCTCTTCCTCAGCAGGGGTCGGGACAGGCGTTGGACATGGGGGAAGTTTCTGGCAGCTGCTCACAGAACCCAGCCCTGGAGCCTCCCCTGCTACCAAAACCTGGCAAACCCAATGCACTGCCCAGCATGGATCATCTGGAATGTGGGTCACCAGGTCTGTGCCCAGCGTGGATCACCTGGAACATGGGTCAGCAGGTCTGTGCCCAACGTGGGTCCTTTGATGGTTGATGGAGTTGGAGCAGCGGACGAAGCTCTTCCTGCAATCAGGGCACTTGCAGGGCTTCCCTTACCGGTGGGTCCGTTGGTGTTTGGTCAAGGTAGAGCTGTGGGAGAAGCTCTTTTCACACTCATGACACTTGTAGGGCCTCTCCCCGCTGTGGATGCGCCGGTGCCTGACGAGGTGGGAGCTCTGGTTGAAGCTCTTCCCGCAGTCGCTGCAGTGGAAGGGCCTCTCCCCCGTGTGTGTCCGCTGATGCTTGAGGAGATTCGAGCTGGTTTGAAAGCTCTTCCCACATTCCTCACACTTGTAGGGCCGTTCCCCAGTGTGGATCATCTGGTGGCGGATGAGGGTGGAGCTGTCGCTAAAACTCTTCCTGCATTCCAAGCACGTGTAGGGTCGCTCTCCGCTGTGCACCCGCTGGTGGGTGAGGAGGCTGGAAATGCGGCTGAAGCTCTTCCCACATTCACATGGATAGGGCCGTTCCCCAGTATGGATCTGCTGGTGGTGAATCAGGTGGGAACTCTGTCTGAAGCTCTTCCCACATTCCCCACACGTGTAGGGCTGTTCCCCAGTGTGGATGCGCTGGTGGCTGAGGAGATTGGAGCTCTTTATGAAGCTCTTCCCACATTCCTCACACTTGTAGGGCCGTTCTCCAGTGTGGATCTTCTGATGGGTGAGGAGGTAGGAGCTGTCACTGAAGCTTTTCCCACATTCCAAGCACTGGAAGGGTCGCTCCCCGGTGTGGATGATCTGGTGGATGATCAGGTGGGAGCTGCGGCTGAAGCTCTTCTCACATTTTCCACACTTGTAGGGCCGCTCTCCAGTGTGGATATGCTGGTGTCGTCTCAGGGTTGACCTCTCGCTGAAGCTCTTCCCACATTCCAAGCACTTGTAGGGTCGTTTCTCAGTGTGGATCTTCTGGTGTCTGCTCAGGGTGGAGTTGTCACTGAAGCTCTTCCCACATTTCCCACATGTGTAGGGACGTTCTCCAGTGTGGATGTGCTGATGGGTGAGGAGGTTGGAGCTCTGTCTGAAGCACTTCCCACATTCCAAGCACTTGTAGGGCCGTTTCTCAGTGTGGATCTTCTGGTGTCTGCTCAGGGCAGAGCTGTCACTGAAGTTCTTCCCACATTTCCCACATGTGTAAGGACGTTCTCCAGTGTGGATGTGCTGGTGGGAAAGGAGGTGGGAGCTCTGCCTGAAGCACTTCCCACACTCCAAACACTTGAAGGGCTTCTCCCTGGTGTGAAGCTGCTCATGGACCTCAGGGTCAGAGCTCTGGCTCAAGCTCTGGCTGCCTTCCCGGCACAGGGTGGGTCTTTCCTCCTCAGAGCACCCTGGGCTGGCTTTGGAGC